CTGTGGATGGTGGGTGTGAGTGGCTGCTAGTACTGCATGTGTTGGAGGAAGCAGCATCGGATACAGAAAATGTGGCTTGGTTTAGCGATTAAATCAGTGACCATTACTTGAAGGGGCCTTAACAGAGTGCCATATCCAAACTTTGAAACATCTTGTGTGGTATCATAACAGAGGCAGCCCTCTACTGTGCATGTTGTGGTCTAAAAAGTACAGCAAGGAAAAAGGGATACCGGGGGATTTCTTCTTTTTCTTTTCTTTCTGTCCTGGCATTCAAAGTGATCTGAGGAGATAGTAATAGTCCACAGTTTTTAATATTTTGTGTCCACTTATTCCCTCTCTTCTGTCCTCTGCCTCCCAGGGTGGCTGTTAGGCTAGAAGAACCCCCAGCACACGCACCTGGAGGTCTGGGGCCCTAAGCCGGGAATGAATGCTGCTAACCACTTTAAAATGAGGAAAGAGAGTGGCAGAAGTGTTCCATAATCCTCTGATAGCCCCAAAATGCAGGGGTTTCAGGGCAGTGTTTCTGTTTCACAGTTTTACCCCTCTCCAGTCTTGCCGGGTCTAATGGGAAATTGCTGTTGAGCTTGGCTCCGAGCCGCCAGCCTTTGAGGCAAGGACTGTATCACCCAGCTCGAGGAGCTGCTCCGCCGGCTGAGGTTAGTGTGGCAAGCGTACCTGCGGCCGAATGGTGTTTTGCACATTGCAGTTTGGTGGGAGCGATGGCTGGCTCTCGCCGCTAGCCGGTATCCTTTAGCCGGTATGGTCGGATGCTAATGGCTACTTCGTTGTGGCTGGGAAAGGGAATTGGCTTGGTTTTGCTTCCCCGAATAAAGGATGCATGAACTTTTGTGTTTAACCTCCTTATGCAACTGCAGCACGGTATTGCACCACAGGGAACAGGTTTAGGACAATGAAGAGCGTTCAGTGAACAGCAATGAACCTTCCTGATCGTTGATCTCCACTAAATAGAGAGATATTACTTTCCCCTTTATTTTGTGCCTTTAAGACAAAAACCAAACAAAAACCAGTGTATAATTTCAAGTTTTATAAAAGCAATAAGATGTTCCATATCACTCCAGTGCATTTCTGGTTGATGATTCCACTTCTTTAGTGTCTGAAGTCAGATACTCTTCCTTCTGCCTTATGCACACAAGGCATGCAATAATTCCCCAGAAGTGCACTGCTTGTCACATCTCATTGCAGTTATAAAATTGCCCTATTTTTGAAGAAAAAAAGGATGGAGAGATATATATATCTTTATATATATTATGTATATATAGGTATATATATTACTTATATAATCTCATGACACTAAAAGTAGTTGCAAAAATGTAACTAGAATTAAAATATGTTACCATGTAAAACTCTGTCCTCTGTTAATTAGCTTTGATTTAATATTTTAATATCTCTGTATTTATGTAAATCTATGTAAACTACGTGGTCTATAAGTAAAATTTCATACTGACTTTAATTTTCTCAGAACTGTGAGCTTCTTGTGGTGTCATTTAAGGTTTTGCATTTCTAAAGTTAAATTATACAAGACACGAGAAGTTATAAATTCCTATTATCACACAGAAATACTGCAATAAGGTTCATGCGTACTCCCAATACACAATCCTATCTTGAAGTATTGCAGGCTTATGAGGTTTAATTGAACGGTCTCAGGAGATCTAACTGATACAAGCAGGACGTGTAGGTTTTCATTTTCATGAAACAATAAGCAATCTAGGGAATAAATGTGGATTTTTAAAGCGGAGTTTATGCTTGGAGGTTCTGTCAAATCAATTGCTTCAAAACCCTACAGCTACAGCTAAACTTCTGCACTTAGCATTCAGTATTAATAAGGCTGATGCTTCCTTCCCCTCCCCCCTCCTACTTAAGCTAGAAAAGTGTAGGAAATTGTTCATATTTCTAAAGCATACATTTTCAGCTAACTGTGAAACTGCCCAAAGGGTTTTGAATATACATATTTTATGCAAGTGTAATAACTATGTATCTGTATCCATATATTTAAATATTTTTGTGTAACCTTTTCTACGATATTTGATAGAGATGCTGGGTAAATGCTTGTACCATTCTCGTACGTAAGGAAGGATTTATACCCTCTCGATGCGGACGTTCTTTTTCCTGTGTATTTGCACTGGTTTCTGCAAGTTACGATGGAGACCGGGCAGCTGAGTGTGACTGCTGGAAGAACAGGCTTTCCTCTGTTAAGGGGCACACCCTCCAGCAGGATTTTCCTGGTTCTGAATACGGAATTGGGGCCGGTTGCCCACTAGCACCCTGCATGTGTAAGAATAAGAAGTGCTATGGCGCTCAGCAGTTCCTGTCCGGTCCAGCCGTCGTCCCGTGGCAGAAGCACGACAGCAACGACTCTTTTGTAGGTCCTCGTGAGAACCGAGATCCCGCTGGGCGACGCGGTGGCAGTGCTGAGGCTGGATCGGGGAGCCGGCGATGCCTCGTCCTACGCTCCCGTCCTGGGAGCCAGCTGCTGCCCCAGGGCTCCCTCCAGCTCCCGCTGGCATCAACAGGAGTGGCTTCCACTGACTGCCAAGGGACTTGGATCCCGTCTGTAGTCCACACGGAGGGTGACAGCTCTCCGCATCGCCACCGCTGGCCCTGCTCAGCGCCCGGCCCGGCAGCCTCCGTGGGGATGGAAACCACTGCGTCCCACGAGGGCTGGATGCCTCAGCCTGTTGGCACCGGGGAACCTGCGCTGATGCCGTCGGCTCCACTTCTACGGACTGAGGCGTTTAGGTTTCTACACGGATCCTATGTGGATCATGGACAGGGAATGTCACTGCATTAAAATATGTCATTCTAGCATTTTTTTCTGTGGGGGTTTGTCTACGGCAACTGTAGTCTCAGATGAAGTTTGCAGGCTCTCCATCCAGACATGTTTTAGCTTTTGACACATCTCTCTGAGACATATATATCTGTATATATAGATATATATCTCGAAGGAAATGCTGAACAAAAAGCAAAGAACAGAGGCTACATGTTATAGACAAAGCTGTTCTATGACTAAAAACTGGGGGATTTTTTGCTTTTATTTTTAATTCATTTTAAAGGCTACTATCTTTAATGTAAATAGCAAGTTACTATGTGATTAATGTTTTCCATAGCATTTCTGAGTAGTTGCTATCTTGTTTCTGGAAGGCTATGTCCAGTGTTATGAAGCAACTGTGCTTTTCTTCTTCTATTGTTATGAATATGAGTGCAACTTTTATGTAGGGAGGAAAAAGAACATGATTTGAGTCTTTAGACAGGACTGAATTATTTTAAATCCAGTTATAGGACTTGGTTGCTTTTTTTTATTTCTAGTGGTTATTCTCTCTGCACGTTTGTATTTTTTCTAGGGGTACTTGAAACCCTACATTTTAATAAGTAAGCAAGATATGAAAGGAAACGCGAAAAATTAAGTAGAAAACATTCTTTTTCCTCTTTTGTGTAAATAGCAAAATTTATAGTGACTTAGATACCATTTCATTACATTTCTCATCTACATAGAAGCTGGCATGACATATACAAACCTTTAATAACACTTCCATTTATGTTAAAATTTAGAACTACTTTTATCCAGGACTGACTTTCTCATGTCCTTCTGGTATCTAACTCTTTTTTTTCCCCTGAAACCAAGTTTTACATCTGATCGCTAAATAAATTTCTAGTAGAACAGAGCCTCCTTCTGTTTTTAGTCTTTCACACGTAGGTCTCTGGTCTGAATCCAGCCAAACTCCACAGTGTAGAAAGTGTGTTATGAACTTGCAAAAACTGGATGGTGTATGAGCCTTGAGGAGAGAGGCGACTGTCTGACAAGCAAACAGGTGAAATGCCTGGCAATGGTCGTGGTTATCTTTCCCTTTTGGAGTTGTGGAAGTGAAGCCTCCTCATCCAGTGGATGGGTGCCCTTTACCTGGATGGGGGGAGGGCAACC